AATTCACTTTTGTCACACTTTTGAACAGACATATCTTTTTAAAACCCTGGCATATGTTACACACTAATAATGTTTAATAGGTGTCATTTGACATGAGAAAAGAATATTTCCCTAAGATACTCTATGTCTGGCCCACTAAAACTGAGACATCTGAGCAGAAATCCTGGACATGGGGTATATGGCAACAGCCGAGCTGAATGAAAAGTTGTGTAAACTGTGGAAGAGCTTTATACTTGCCTGCTTATTTCTGAGTTCATTTACATATTTCAGAATCCCAAGGAAATAATCATCCCCTGCTTCATTAGATCTAATTCAATGAATTATATTCTATCCCATTCCCCAAAACTTACTGTAAATTTTTCATTCCTTTTTTATTAATATGATCTACATAGTTAATGGAAAAAATACTCTTCATCTCAGTTTTGCACATGAAAATTCAAATTATGACAGTGATTTCCAGAGATTTTTACGTCAGATAAGGATGAAGAAATGGTGATTGAACTTCTTAACAGAGTGGTGCAACCGGAGAATGGACTTCCCTCCAATCATGTCAACAGTGGCATGCAGGCTCATTCATCATTTGTCAACAGGATTCCTGACAAATGATGAAGCTAGAATTTATACTAAATTTAGTGTTACAATTTATACTAAATATAAGAATTTATTCTAAAGTACCTTCTGGTATATTTCATTTCTGAGCTATTATGCTTTTATGATTCTCCCATATTCATGCCCTTACATTTCAAGAGACTGGAGAGATTAATCCCCATCAAGTTAGGGAGGTGGTTGTGAGGTGAGAGGACCATATTCATGCGTTGAGGAGTTAAACTGCAATGGACCTTTGAGGCATCTGAAAGATAAGCTCTCTGGAAGCTTCAAGAATAACTTTGCCACGTCTTTTCATCTGAACAATAATGAAATAGCACTGGCCCTGGGCCTTTGGAAGTTGATTAATAGAAATACAGTGGGGGAGATATTTTACTGGCCTAAATTTGGCCAGTGGTTGGGCCCACCCACTACTGATGTTCATTATCCATTTTGGCTCTGCAGGAGGGGGACTTAATATCTATAGTACCACAGGCTCTAAAACAGATGTTTGTCTTCAGCTTTGCTCCTAATATTTTCAGAAGATTCCCAGATTTCTATTTCAGAGAGACAAGTAACAAAAATAAACTGTTAGGTTCTATCTCCACTGAAAAAATTACCTGATATTTAAAGTACCTCAAAGTGGAAGATGGAATAAACTCCTGAAAATAAGAGTTGGGGTCTGTTTACTCTGTTCTCAACAGTATTTTGGAACTCTTACCATCTGAAAATTTCTTAGGAAATTGGTTAATCACTCTGGAATCAGAAGGTTTATATAAAATCTTAACAAACAACCCAAAAATATACCACTGAACTAAGACAGTTTCTTTTGGCCTAAAGATTCTGAAAGTTTAGAATTAGTTATTGTTTGTTTTAATATACACTTTTAGAAGATTTTCTGGAATCTCATTTAATTCTTTAAACAGCAACTGAAGTTGCTATGGTGATTTTTCCCATTCTTCATGGGGAAACGAAGGCATAAAGAGGCCAGCTTACTCAGTCCAGTTACATAGAACTAAGGGAGGGAGTTAGGATCTGAACCCAGAACTCATGCTCTTTGCCAGTTATTGAGATCTCCTTTTTGGCATTCCATTCATTTTAGATGACTTTATTCAATGACAAGCTGGCAGAGAAGAAGGCAAGTGGAAAGAAAGTTTAATTTGGGGTCTTAATAATGGTGCCAGCCTAATAAATCTCAGCACCACATGAGTTAATATACTGATCAGTATTGGAGTCTTCACTATACAATTTCTTCAGTAACAAAGATGTTGATTACAAACTTTGGTATGTGCTTGAAAAGAATTCTGAGACTGCGTTTGCATGACCTCACAACAGTTTATCTTTCAGATTAGACTAGGAATACAGAAGACATTTTTGGAAAAACAAAAGCAAAACATCATTTCACCTCATATGTCAGAGTGGTTAGTTCTCTTCTCATGTTTTATTCCTTTAAAGTGCTCTTAAATCACACACTTCCTAATCATCAAACATTCCAGTAGGTTAGAATGCAAATTGTTTTTATAATCATTTCTTCAAAATATTAAATTAAATAAAAATATATCAGGTCAAATGTAAGCTTGGCTTCTTCTTTTTAAGATAGAAATAGTACATGTTTACTCTGGAAATCTTCTTAATAAATATATACAAATACAATATTAAAACCATCCATAATTCACTGCCGGGAGAAAAGCGCTGTTAACCATCTCTATTTCTCTCTCTCTCCCCATATATATATATATATACATGTACATACACATATATGTATATACTCACATATATATTATATGAATAGGTACACATGAAACATATGTACATGCAGCAAAATATCATGAATATATTTCCAAATCTATAAAAATTTCTCTAATGCTATTTTGAGGCAGAATAATATTCCATCTTATTCCTTAGTAATTAATGTTAAAAAAAAAGTTTGTAATAACATGAACTTTATTGAGTATCTTTAATTTTAAAATAAATACCTAAACATATAAGTACAAGTTCAAAGACTATGATTCTTTAAGAGCTTTGATGTAGATTGCCAAGTCACACTCCAGAAAGGTCATACCCAACGAATAAGAGCAACTTTCCTTAAGCATTCATTAAAAGTGGGTATTATCAGAAAATATACTTAATTATATTTGAAAAGCAAAAAAATGTAATCTAAATTCTTGAATATTCATACCTTTGTTTTCTAGTGAAGTGAATATATTTTTCTATTTTGCTGGTTTTGTGTTTCTTCTTTGTGGCATTGTTTTGACCTTTTTCAGTTAGAGTCATTTAATGGTTGATTATTCAGCTTTTAGATATTAAGGATATTAAATCTTTATTATAGATTATTTTTTGCAAGTTTTTTGTCTTTTTTATCTTACAGGGTGTTGAGTCAAAAATCTTTTAATTTTTATGTAAGATATAGATCAAGAAAACAGATTTCTCTTATGTGCTTTGCTTTTCATGTCATGCATAGAATGTCCTCTCCACCTTAGTTATATGCAAATAGTTGACCCATATTCTCTCCTAGAATTTTGTGATTTTGCTTCCTATGTTTAAATCTTAAATACATAAGAAATTAATTTTGGTGTTTAAAGCAAAAGAAAGACTTCAATTTTTTCAAGATGGTTAACAACTTGTCAAAAATTATTTATTAAATAATATATCCTACTCATTATATTTACTATATGCTAAATGTGCCTATGTCTAATTTTTTTCTATACACATATGCACATGTACACATCTGCAAATATATCTGTGGATATATACATACAAAATATATATATCATATATTATATATGTTTTTTTGTACTTTCTTTTTTATGTCACTGATCTGTCTGTCTCTTCTGACAATCACCATTCTATTGATGAATTATTTTATCTTAAAAATACCTTCTGATCTATTAAGACAAAGTTGACCCACCATATTACTATTTTTCGATTTTTTTTTTGCATAGTCATAAATGCATTTTCTTAGTTTTACTTTTAGCTTACAGGTTCTGTTTTTTAAATAGAGATAGTATGTTATTGCAAACCATTCTTGGAATAGGTATCTAATCTTTTTCATGGAAATGTCTTTGCAGTCCAGATTAAGAAATCAAAACACAACTGAATCACTGTAGCTATGATTGTGACCAACAACAGTTGTGCACTTGTACTCTGGAAACTCCAGAGTCAGAACCGAGTATGGAGCAGGAAGTGAAGCAATGTGAGTGCTTGACTACGGCCACACCCAATTTATTTCAGGAAATTGCACATGACATCTATACACATACATTGCTATCTTTATACTCCCAGGATATGCTAAATAAAGTAACAACTCCAAAGGAGGTCTCTTTTAGAAAATTAATTAGAAGAGAGGATAAAGCTGTGATTTGGTTATGCACAAAATAGAAACTTGGAGGCTCTTCTGAGACTTGGTACAATTTAGGATGAAACAAGCTAGTGTTTGGGGGTGTTGTAATCAGGTGACTTTCTCTAACCACTCATGTAATGAGTTTTTCCCAGCACACTGTACCAGTGAGATGTGTTCTCCTTATAAAAAGGTAAAAGTGTAATTTCAGAATAGTTTTCTCAGTGGAGCAGATGAATCCATACTGATCCATAGACACTCTTTTGCATAAGAGGCTTCAAGCCTAAAAGTATACATAAAGACAATTCGGTGAGATTAGAGGTACAGCCTCTAGCTAAGGAAAAGCATGGAGTTACTTGGTACACACACGGACTGTAGCTCGGGCTATGGCTCTGTGTCACCATGTTTTGATCAATTGCTACTAAACTCAAAGAGACCCTAATATACAGTCTTCCCTGGTTGGCATCTGGTATGAAGAATCCATCTTCTCCCAGCCTCACTGACTTGTTGCAAAACCATTGTGATTTTTCCTTATTCACCATCAAATTCCACCAATGATAACCAGGAACAAACAGTGAACAATCACAGGCCTTTGTTTAAATCTACTAGAAATATCCTGAAAAACCTCCCTGGACATGTCTAAAAAGTCTCTCTGTTACCCAAGAGCAGAACATGACTTATTTAATAAGGTTTTGCACTTCTCTCCAGAAGATGGTCTTTGCTAATCTGGCTTTCAAGTCGGAAAGAGAGAAGGAAAGTTGATTTCTTGTGGATTTTGCTCTAAAAATTAACCTTCAGGCAGTTGAAACCTCTTTTTCCAAACTGAGTCGCTATTTAATGAGGCCGTTTATAACTACTCCAAAATGCACTTTCAAAACAAAAGTTAGAAAACTGTATGATCCTTCTCAAGAAAAATCTGTTTCTGTTCAAATCCCGCCCCGACCTTTTTGTTGAAGAGGAACAAAATAATGTAGTAACAAAAACATAAGTGGCTGCCAAAGGAAGAGAGAAAAAAAAAAGTTCCTGTAAGGGACTGAAACAATAAATCTCCTCTCTGCTGAACTCCCAAAGGGAGTGTGTGCATTTCCTCCTGTTCTTTATCAGAGCCCCCGAAATAAGTAGGAATGGGCAGTGGCTGTTCACGGTCAGCACACCTTTTTCATTTGCTAATAAGGCCCTGTCAGGCTGGGAGGGAGCTATCCCTGCCTGACTCTGGAGAAAGCAGCCACTGAGGCGACCCACAGCCACCATGAAATTGCTTCAAGTAACCATCCTTTGTCTTCTGTCCTGTCTTTATAGCAGTGACAACACAGGTACCATTTTCTCTTATTCCTCTGGTGGTGTGGATCAGAAATATCTAGTAGAGGGCTCTTAACATCAGTTTATCTTCAGAAAGCTTCCCCTGTAACTAAGATCCAGCAAATTAATTTGCTGAGTTGAGTGTGTGGAGTAGACTGGGAGTGCACAGAGAAGGCTCCATGAGAGGATATTTGCATTCACTGATGGGAAATGTCTTCTGGCAGAGCGGCCTTGAATCATCAGAGTACTGGGAATATACAATGCCTTTGTTGAGAGTAAAAATCTGGGAATAAAATGCTGCTTAAATTGTACTATTTCTCAAAATACGTGCTCTTTTCAGCTATATGTCTAGAAATAACAAGATTGTCATGTAGGGTGAAAGGCTATAATAAAAATACTGTGTTGTAGATGTTGCCCTGTATTTGTCCCATCTTTCTGCTCTGATAAATTGAGAGGTTGAATAAAGCTGCCTAGGGAAGTGAATCTTCATATCTTGAGGGCTAGGGTGGGTAAAGAGGAGAGACACTAGATTAAAGTTTATAGATTTTTGCTACAGAAATAAGCACATGTCTACACATACACACACTATATTTTGTATAACATGTTGGGGAACTTC